GCTGTTGCTGGGTCAACATCGCTGTCCAAAAACTTTCTGCCAATGCACTAAATTTTTGGCTTAGGTTGGACAGCGCTGTAGGGAAGCCTACATCGCTGTTCCAGAAGTTTCTGGAAATCCAACCTTGGCTCAACAGCGATGTCTAGTGACCAACATCGCTATTGGAAGACTTAACGCCAAACCATGTTTTTAGCTACCTAGTCCAGACAGCGCTGTTGATTACCTCAACATCGTTGTTGGGCTGGTTTAGCCAGACCCATGGTTGGTTTAGTCACGCCGTTAGCCGATGTCAAAAATGCAAGTTCTCCAAAATAAAAACCAAGTTTAGAAAACATTTGTTTATTGCATTTTGCTAAGAGAACAAGTAAAACATCTTGAAAACCACCTCATTTAGTTGAAAACCACAGCTAACCAAGTTCGTGCCGTTTCGCATGGTTTTTACTAAACGACAAAAAATGGAGAGTGGTTTTTGAGGCGTTTTTGTTGGAGAGCTAATTAAATATGCCCAGAGATAAAAACCAGTCATAAAAAGTTGAAAACCACTTGGTTGGTTCGAACGCCAAAAAACCAATGCCGAAAACCGAAAGCCGAATGCCGGTTTCTGAAGGCTGAACGCCGGATGGCTTGGTTTTTGGCTTGGGCGAACTCCAAGTGTTTTGACCCAAGTTTAAACTTAAGAAAAAATGGTTTTGAACATGTAAAAGAGATTTTTATGAAATGAGCCTAGAGAGGCAAGATTTGGAATTTTGTGCCGGTCTTGATCACATTAAGACCGACTCAATACGATTTTAGTTCTTCGTTCTTGATTCTGGGTTCTTGGTTCTCAAGTCATCATGCCATGTTCCTTCGCCTTAGTTTTGCTCAATTTAGCTTCGATATGTTGCGGCGGTTTGGCATTATCAAAACCTGTCATAAAAACCGAACACAGTTTAGTACGACGTAAGGCGTAAACCCGTGTTCCAACAACATCTAATATCAAAATCTGGATAAGTCTCATAGAGATAAATCCAATATGTGGACTATTTGTGTGGTCTTGATTGGGAACCTGAGTACAGACCCAAATCAAGAGTAAATAAAGAATTTGTTTAGAATGTAAATATTGAAATGATTTGTTGAAATAAATCATGAGAATAATTGATGTGAATTAAATGAGAGAACCTTTTATTAGGAAGGTCAATTAAACCAATTTTGACTCTGTTAAAGTCAAACACCCAAAAATGTGGTGTCAGAAAAAGTATAATAAATGAATATAAAAATTATATCGTTGGATAGAGTTCGACTGTCTGATCGCAACGGTGCAAACGGATTTTAATTCGGAGAATGTTGGACCAAAAAGTGTAACTCAACTGGAACCAAAATTTGGTCCCAATCAGGGACACTGTGGAGACGGCTCCTCCCAGCGCACTAGAAAGTTTCCTACGCAGCATCTACTTGGAGAAGTGTCCTCTTCTTCTTCACCATTCTATATAATAAGAACCTAACCCAATCAATTCTTCACCATTCTTCTTCATTTTTCCTTCTAATTATTCCTGAGAGTGTGAGGGGTATTGTGGTGCTGCCATTTTAGTGAGAGGTCGTCGGAGTTAGGAGCTTTTGTCGCCGGAAGTTTCGCCATTCTTTCGCCGGAATCTTCGTTAAGC